AGAGTGCTAGGATTACAGGCGTGACCCACCACGCCCAGCCCCAGCATTTTTTTTTTTTTTTAAAAGACGGAGTCTCACTCTCACCTGGGCTACAGTGCCGTGGCATTAGCCTAGCTCACAGCAACCTCAAACTCCTCGGCTCAAGTGATTTTCCTGCCTCAGCTTCCCAAGTAGCTGGGACTACAGGCGCACGCTACCACACCTGGCTAATTTTTCTATTTTTAGTAGAGACAGGGTCTCATTCTTGCTCAGGCTGGTCTCAAACTCCTGATCTCCAGCCATCCTCCCGCTTCAGCCTCCCAGAGTGCCAGGATTACAGGCATGAGCCACCACGCCCGGCCAGAAAGAGAAAGTCTTAATTTCCATAAAGCCAATTTGTACAATCTTTTCTCTGACAGTGCTTTTTGTGCTCAAAGAAATCCTTCCTTAACCCAAGACTGGAAAAATGTTTACCTATTAATAAATCTAAATATCCAAAAATTTTAAAGCTTAATTTGACACTTAAGCCCTTAATCTCTTTGGAATTGTTATATATGGTATATAATGATCTAATTTCATTTTTTCCCCTAAGGATAACCACATTTTAAGTTCTGTTAATATGAGGATGGCAATTCTCCCTCAAATGCATCTACAGACTCCATAAAATGCTCTTCAAAATCCCAAATGGTGTTTCTACCCCCCATGAAACTACTTTAACTACTAAATTGAATTGAAAATTTATAGAAAGTAAAGGGCCAAGAATAGCCAAGATACTGCAGATGAAAAGAGTAAGGAGGATATACCTCCCCAACCAGATACTAAGATTTCTCATTACCACTATAATAATCTACACAAATTGACTAAAGAATGGGAAAGAATAGCATTATAAAACACTTAAGGATCAAGTTAATGGTATCCACAGCTAAAAGCAAAATGCTACAATCTCATGAGCCCATGTGGTCTGGTGAATGTAGTGGCCACAAGGTCTCCCTGATGGACGATCCCAGTTACAGTGCACAGAACTCCATTCTACCTGCTCTGCGCAATAGTTATACGTGGCTCTGCAACAAGCACAGTGATGTAAGATGATACAGTCACAAGAGGGCAGAGGACAGTGATGGCAAAAAGGACATTTGCAGAATAATCCTTGGGAAAAGACTATTCCCTTGGTGGCCTCACTGCTATATAACCTATATGCTTTACCTTTTAAATGAAGTAAATGTTGTTTTAAGCAATAAAGCTTTAGAATATTTTCTGAAAACAGTATACATTTTGTCATTCATATGTTCAGCAAAAATCTATACCAAAGAGAAATTACTCACTAGGCAAGTCTTCAATGTGTCACATTCTAAAATGAACGTAGCAATTATTGCTGGTGCTTAACAATAACCATACCCACACAAAAAAAACAAAAAACAAATTTAAAAAAACACAAACATGGCCGGGCGCGGTGGCTCACGCCTGTAATCCTAGCACTCTGGGAGGCCGAGGCAGGCAAATTGCTTGAGCTCAGGAGTTCGAGACCAGCCTGAGCAAGAGCGAGACCCCCCGTCTCTACTAAAAATAGAAAGAAATTAATCGGACAACTAAAAATATATAGAAAAAAAATTAGCCGGGCATGGTGGCTCATGCCTGTAGTCCCAGCTACTCGAGAGGCTGAGACAGAAGGATTGCTTGAGCCCAGGAGTTTGAGGTTGCTGTGAGCTAGGCTGATGCCACGGCACTCTAGCCCAGGCAAAAGAGTGAGACTCTGTCTCAAAAAAATAAAAATAAAACCTACTTCTCAATTAGCCGGGCATGGTGGCGCATGCCTGTAGTCCCAGCTACTCGGGAGGCTGAGACAGAAGGATTGCTTGAGCCCAGGAGTTTGAGGTTGCAGTGAGCCATGATCACACCATTGCACTCTACCAGGGGTGGCAAAGTGAGACTCTGTCTCACAAAAAAAAAAAAAAAGAAAAAAGAAAAACACAAATAAAACACCCTAGACCCCTGCTACTTAAAGTGTGATCCACAGTCTGGACTATTTGTTCTTCTCCTAATCCATTCATGACTGTCTGCTGTTGTGTATCACCGGGTCAGGTAGCTAACCTTCTATACCGCTTTTTTTTTTTTTTACTTTTTTCTCTATTTTTGCTTTTCCCTTTTTTGTTCATGTCTTCTTTTTCCACTACTTCTTTCATAATTCTCCTCAGGTGAATGGCACCAATAGTGACTGGCTTCCACAACCTATGAAAGCACTCCTTTCCTGAAGCCAGCAATCCAACCATACTGTGTTTTCCCCCATCTTTGCATTTGTGACTGTTCAGGGCCATTTTCATTGATGCACAGGGTTTCCTGCTGCTCTAAATAGTAGAAGGTGCTGGACTGCTGAATGCCAGCTAAGTGAGGTATACCTGGGCCACTTTATAAAGCGAGGGAAAGTAACTGTCATTCTTTAAGTAATAAACAAACATAATTTTTTTAGAGCTGGTCATTGATAAAAAGTAATAGTTTATGATATGGAATAACTTCTAACAAAAGATGAAAATGCATAAAAACTGTAAGTGATAATTCACTTAAGTATTTCACCAAAGATAGTAATTTTAGCATTTATATTAGAACCACTTGTTCTAAGTTTCCCACAACTCTTCCTTCAAAGGGTGCTATGACTTTTCCATTCTTCAATTTAAATAGGATGGCAGGGTTTCCAGGTTTTAACTCCTTCCATAATTCCAAAAACAGAATTAATACTACTTAGGCCGGCGTGGTGACTCACACCTATGATCCTAGCACTCTGGGAGGCCAAGGCAGGAGGATTGCTTGAGGTCAGGAGTTCAAGACCAGCCTGAGCAAGAGCGAGACCCCCATCTCTACTAAAATAAAAATAAATTAGATGAGCAACTAAAAATAGAAAAAAAAAATTATCCGGGCATGGTGGCATGCGCCTGTAGTCCCAGCTACTTGGGAGGCTGAGGCAGAGGGATTGCTTGAGCCCAGGAGTTTAAGGTTGCTATGAGCTAGGCTGATGCCATGGCACTCTAGCCTCGGCGACAGAGCAAGACTCTGTCTCAAAAAAATTAAATAAAAAAAATAGATTAATACTACTTGAAATAACATAGGCCCAGAACAAACTCTCCAATCAGGTCAATCTCTTTGGAAGATGGAAAAAGGAATGCTTGGCACATAGTAGATGTTAAATAAGTATTTCCTGAGACACAGTATTGTTTTAGCAGACGATTTCATCTAACTCACAATTTCAATCAAAACAGAGCTTTGATCTCTAGAATTCCCATAGGAAAAGTTAAATACAGGAACCACTACACCCCAAATGACTGGCACCTAAGGCATCACAACACAGCAACCAAAAGGCTGACTTAGAAATACTCTAAAACTGAGTTTTAGAAAATCTATGCCACATCTTAGCATTATAATGTTTTCTATATGATTACCACATAAAACTATGCAACCAATAAAATCCCGGAGAAATCAGTCTCCCCTTCAATTTTGGAATAAAATATAATTTTACATTTAAATCTATATCAAAACTGCACTTAAAAAATTTATCAAGCACACAAACATTTCGCTATATTTTATATGACCCTCACACCCTTTATTTAATACTCACGAGATCAGCATATTTCTTACAGAGAGCTGCCAGCTTCTCCTCTGGGGTTGAAAGGGTGTTTAGGGCTTGCATCAGTAATAAAACTTCTTTTCCTGATGATTAACAAGATAAGAAATAAGTCCCGAAAGAAGAATGAGATCAAATGTAACCTGTAAATTCTACTACCACTTCCCATGTTCTGACATCCAGAGTAAAATAAATTTATGCCTATAATTAGAAATAAGAGATTTACCAGATCAATTAAGAAAGCTGTTTTTAAATTCTGGATTAGCAAACCCCCTCCCTCCCCATGCCTAAATTTCTTTACTTATTCATTAACACTGCTAACTATTTATAAGAACTCTTGTTGAAGGCTTAAAAATTTCCTTGCCTAATCATTGATATCCAAGTTAAGACAAAGGGCAAGTTACAAAGGGCAGAGAATATTTTTAAAAGCTTCCTCCTAACCAGGTACAAACATAGAAGCACGTTCAAAGGGAGTTTCAGTTGGTACTACACTCTAAGATGCACATAATCACTAGTGACATGTATCTTTTCCTATGAATAATTTAAATAACTTATGGTTTTCTTATGATTTACTAAGTATATTCCGTGTGTTAACCAAGGTTAGTGCAAATAAAAGGATGACAAGATAGCTCTTCCCTTAGGGAAAATATTTTAAGGACTTTGGCAGGGAGAAGCAGGTGGCTGAGATAGGAAAGGACAAATGGTATTGCAAAATAAGTGATAATGTTTTATTTCTTAAGCTGTGCGATAGGTACCATTTTTATTTTTTAAGATG